TGCTGGCCTCCATTAGGCATTCTAATATGTACGAAGTCTGATCAACAAGTATTGGGACTGTTGCTATGGCTTGGTACTGATTGCCCGGAAACTCTGTCGTACATTGTCATAAGGTTATCGCTCATTTCCGTTGTTTATAATAGTGTTTTGAAGGAAAGTGTGTAGAGTGTGGTCATCACACCACACCAAAGCTTCTAACAGTAACAATGGTTTGTGCAGCAGTTTTTGTCTAAGGACAACATTCCCCAGGTCCGACAGGCATCGTGTTCACCTGATCTTGCCCCTTGCAACATTATCTTCAAAAATCAAATCCCGCTTTAATGGAACAAGATTTCAAGACGTCGAAGAAATCCAAGAGAATAAGACGAGGCAACTGCCGGCTACCCACACAAATGAGTTCCGTGAATGTTTCCATCAATAAAGACGATGATGGTTAAAGCGGGTGGCTTCAAAAGTTGGGGGGGGATGATTTTGATAATTTAAAAAAAAAATCAGACATCGTAGTAAGAGATGGAGGTACACTTACATTTTTGTGCATATACATCTATGTACGAAAATGTATTTTGCTATTAGCGATTTTAAAAATTAACTTGCAAAACGCTAATTTTATGCAGTACACAGACACACACACTTATCTCCGTTCTTTCAACATCTTAAAAGCCGAAAAATGTACAAAATGAAAGCAACCCGTAGCCGGATTTTAATGGATAGGAAATTCTATGAAAGATTCGAAAGAAAAAACTAGCTTAGTAAACCGGTTTAAATCAGCCTGTGGAACAGCATGCATTATCTCCGAATATATTTGAATCTACCTTTTTAAGCAATTTTGCTATGATTTCCCAAGTGGAAACTCAGATCCGCGTATTCGTTTCATAATATGGATTAATGACATGGAAGCTAATGTTAATGTTATCTAATTGTCATTTACCTCAGCGCAATGGTTACCAAAACGAGGTTTCAGAATTATAACCTCAGGCGCTAGTAATCTATTACATAACCAATATTCGGACTCTTTGTCGTAGTTAGCTAGGCCTTTTAAAGGTCTTCTCTTAAGAATGCAATAAATAATAGCCCGATATGTTGACATTCACTTCGTGTAGGATGCGACTGGACTAAGACGTAGAAACATCTAAAAGCTGTTCTTCTGAATGTACAATATCGAAATCAAGATGATTTCATCGACACAGTTGAACAATGTGGAATATTGAACAAAAAAAAAAATGATTAAAAAAATATAAACAGAAAGAATCTTTAATGAAATTCGGGAGACGATATACCCAAACACATTAAGAGAAAAAGTTAAATTTAAAAGTTTAAAATTTCAGTTTATGCATCCACTTCATAAGCATGTAAATGTGCTACTTGGTTGGCATCTCGGTCCCATACTCTCATTGTCGAAAGAGTCAAATGTAACCTCCTCTTCTACTCCACTTTACGACAGTGGAATTCCCTTCCTCATACTTGCTTCCTTGATAACTATAATATTCAAATGTTATGTCAATCGACATCTTCTCATGCCTTGATCTTGACCCTCGTCCTTCTCTTTATGCTTTTTCTCAAACATCCCCTCTTTTCTCTTGCTTTCACTCTTTGTAACCTCTTCTGTGATAGTGGCACTCAGGCCTTGCTTGGATTGAAATGCTTAAAAAGAAAATTCTACCTTCATTGAGGTAAACATCACTTCAGTCAGATGAAAGACGAAACCTGATACACGAAACCCGTTTCCACTTTGTTAATTATTTTTCTAATATTCAGTATCAAGAAAGGGACTGAAGTGTATACTTTTTTTAATTTTAAAGGATATTTATCTATATGTGTCTGTGGGGTGGGGGGTAACGATATCTATGTGTGTTTGCGGGGTGGGGTAACGATATCTAAAACTCATATATCAAAACAATTTCAGGGTAATCATACTTTATATATTGGATCGTATTTCCTACATTTTTCAACCGGTTTCAACAAAACTTCACAGGACAACGTAAAATTACCTTGCGGTGATTCTGACAGCGCCAAAAATTGGAAAACAATTGTTTTTGCACGAAATCAATTTGAAAAACACGATTAAGAGACATCGCGAGAATGAAAGGAGGACAACTGATATAAAGTTATACTTATTATAAAACCCAGGTTGTTTGTGTGTGTGTGTGGGGGGTCGTTTATATATGAGGTCAGATTTCCTACATTTTCCAACCGATTTCGACAAAACTTCACTTTTTTTTGGCAGGTAGTGTTTCTTATTGTCTTGCACACATTTTTCTTTATTTTTACATTCAGAATGCTTTAAAAATTCCATTTACAAGACAATTGTTTATAATAAAATTCTATTCAATCGGTAGACTCATAACGATTGAAAACAATGTTTTTGTTTGAGTTTGGGTTTGACCAATTCGTAAAAAAACAAAAAACAAAAAAAAAACTAATTAAGACATGCGTGTCCGTCAACCTTAAACAATAATCTTTGTCAATTTTATTTTTCAGTCTTTATGATGGTCGATACTTGATCTATCTCTTACTGTTACATCCCCCGGCAACGCTGGGCTCTACTGCTAGTCTTTTATATATCAAGAACAATGTCAGGATAATGTATTATAATGTGGCAATTCAATGAAATACTTAAGGATGAAAAGCCTGACTATATAATAGATATTTCTATGGCATAATAGATCATATCTGTCAACTATTCTGCGTGTACTCTGTCACGATAACTAAGCCAGCATACTACTTGCTGGGGGCGGCAATACAAAATGACACACACACACACAAATCCTAAATTCTTTATTACTATATGTTTTTTCTTTAAAATATTGCTGGGAAATAATATTTATTAACTTACCCTTTGTCTTCATTCGGCGTTTTTCACACTGCTATAAGGAATACCTATTTTCCAATGAAAATTACTAGGGTGAATTTACATAGCACCAATTTCATATATGATGTTATATGTATTTTTTTTATAAATCCAAACTCTTAGGGTTTTGCCCATTTTCCCATCAGCCCTAGCGGTCGATATTCAAGGCAACGAACTGAAAAAAAGCGGTGGCCATCATTTTAACTGAAAATTGTACCATTACCTTCCAACAGATCATTTTCTCTCCCCCACGAAGTAAACTTCTAAAATCATCTGACGCTTTAATTCTTTTGGTCCATTTGCAAGCTTAATCTGAAAATTGAAAGGGGCGTAAGGCAATGATGTGTCTTCTCACCGGACTTTCAACTTATAAAGCGAGGCAATTCTAGGGGACCTGAAAATCTTACCAGGTTTCATCATTGGCGGCCAAGATGACACAGTACTGACAACAGACAGGGAAAGGAAACTACAAATCCTCCTACAGAAGTTAGCGGAGGACAGCGACAAGAAGGGACTAAGCATAAATTATAAGGCAGAATTCATGGTCATCAGGAAAAGGATGAGCCCGAAATGCGATTTACAGGTCGTGGTGGGGTGGGGGACTCAAGTAAGTGCAGAGATTTAAATATTTGGGAAGTGTTCTGAAAGAGGACGAACAAGTCTGATGCTAAGATCCGAAGATATATTGGGATGGCCAAAGACGCATTCAGAAAAGTTACGCGGAATATTACGAGACAAGAAGATTCCCTTGGTAAGAAAAAAAAGCGTACTGAACTGCTACGTGACATCTGTCCACCTTTACGGCAGAGAATGTTGAACAATATCCTCAAGAATGAAGAGACTAGAGGCAACAGAGGTGTGGTTCTACAGAAGGGTGCCAAGAATACCATGGACCGAATATGAGAGCAACAATGATTTTTGGAGAGGATGCAAGCTGAAATTTATGGGACACGTAATGTGGAAGGAGATCTTGGAGAATCTGATACTCATCAATGGAAAGCAACGCGTGACATACTGAACGGGCTTAAGCATCTTTGAGAAAAATAAATTTTAAAAAATGACAAAATTTACTGAGTGCTACAACGCAAAGGAACAAATGGAGTGCCATGATCGGAACGCGGCACATAAAAAAATGAAATTGCTCTTGGACTGCACAAACGAAGAGAGAGCGAGAAAGAGAATGATATATATATATTGTAACCCGGATATAACAGAGTTGTCGGGACCGGAGAAGTAGTCTCTTATATCCGGATTTGGTCTATTTTATATACATTAACACAGGCTCTAATTTGGGACCAGAGAAAATCTCTCTTATATCCGGGTCACACTGTATATATATATATATATATATATATGGAAAGAGAGAGAGAGAGAGAGACACACACACACAGAGAAAAAGAATTATGATTAAGCAGCTCTGACGAGAACTTATTTCAATACTTCGAAGAAAGCGTAATTATCTCACCAAGAACAAAGCAAGCAAGATGCTATGCTTATTAAACTGTAGTTTCAGAACGTGACCAAGAAAAAATTTGTCTGAACGGAAGACTCTTATATGTTGAATGACATATTGGTCGGGTTCATAACCTTTCAACACTCGCTTATAATGTGCAGACACTGATGATAAAAAAAAAAAAAATTAGACAGAAAAAATATTTTTTGCCTGTGAATTGGAAATTAAGGTCCTTCTTATGTTCTAACATGCGCACAGATCATATCTAGAACATGTGATTGTGATCAGTCACCTTCACTTGATTTGTCCTTGGATAGATCTACTTCTGAGGAACGAACCAGACTGTTCTTGATCGGAATTTCCCAATCCTACTAAGAGAAGACAGCGATTCTGATTTAGAGACCAATTTACTGATGACGAGGTCGCTATCCTGACGATATAATGTATTTATATTTGCGATAAAAATGATTGTAAAAAGAAAATTCTCTCAAAAGTATTCAATAAAACAGGATTCAAAATAAAGGTTTCCTTAAAAGAAATTATGATGGAAAGTTTGAAAGAAAGCAGTTACGTCACACCGAATCCATCATGAAAAATACCAAACACGTCAAATAAGTATGTATGGATCAGTTATTAGAAATTGAACACAAGAGATAAAGAAACTGAATGTAGAAAATGTTGCGTTAGAGGTGGTTACTCTCAACATCGTAAATCCTTTAAGTCGGAGTGACGAGGAGAGACACGAGAGATAGAGAGAAGACACGAGAGATAGAGAGAAGACACGAGAGAGGGAAGAGAGAAGAGAGAGACACAGACGAGAGAAGAGAGAAGAGAGAGATACAGACGAGGGAAGAGAAAGAGAGACAGAGATAGGGAAGAGAAAGAGAGAGAGACAGACGAGGGAAGAGAGAAGAGAGAGACACAGACGAGGAAGAGAGAAGAGAGAGACAGACAGGGAAGAGAGAAGAGAGAGACACAGACGAGAGAAGAGAGAAAGAGAGAGACACAGACAGATAGAGAGAAGAGAGAGACACAGACGAGGGAAGAGAGAAGAGAGAGACACACACGAGAGAGAAGAGAGACACAGACGAGGAAGAGAGAGAGAGAGAGACAGACGAGGGATAGAGAGAGAGACACAGACGAGGGAAGAGAGAAGAGAGAGACACAGACGAGGGAATGAGAAGACAGAGACACAAGAGAGAGAGAGAAGAGAGAGACACAGACGAGGGAATAGAGAGAGAGACACAGACGAGGGAAGAGAGATAGAGAGACACAGACGAGAAAAAGAGAAGAGAGAGAACAGACGAGGGAAGAGAGAAGAGAGAGACACAGACGAGGGAAGAGAGAAGAGAGACACAAACGAGAGGGAAGAGAGAAGAGAGAGACAAAGACGAGGGAAGAGAGAAAGAGAGACACAGACGAGGGAAGAGAGAAGAGAGAGACACAGACGAGGGAAGAGAGAAGAGAGAGACACAGATGTTTGAGAGACAGAGAGAAGAGGAGAGAGACACAGACGAGGGAAGAGAGAAGAGAGAGACACAGACGAGGGAAGAGAGAAGAGAGAGACACAGACGAGGGAAGAGAGAAGAGAGAGACACAGACGAGGGAAGAGAGAAGAGAGAGACACAGACGAGGGAAGAGAGAAGAGAGAGACACAGACGAGGGAAGAGAGAAGAGAGACACAGACGAGGGAAGAGAGAAGAGAGAGACACAGACGAGGGAAGAGAAGAGAGAGACACAGACGAGGGAAGAGAGAAGAGAGAGACACAGACGAGGGAAGAGAGAAGAGAGAGACACGAGGGAAGAGGGTGCGGGAGACACACACACAGACAGATAAAGAAGAATTATAATTTTGAAAATCTACCCAGAACTCATTTCAACTCTTTCAAGAAAGAGAGCTATCTAACCAAGAAACAGCCAATGCAGATTAATCTGTGGTTTCAGAACGGAGGCGTGAAAATAATTTCACACTCCGTGTGTACACAGACGTAGGTAAACTACATACTGTTATTTTAATACATTTTGTCTGACCAAACTATTTTTTCTTTTATTCGTCCGACGACTTATTGGTCGGGTCCATAACCTTTCATCATTCGCTTAAATGTACAGACTCTGACGAGGGAAAAAATAAAAGAAAACTAAACAGCCTAATCATATCGAAATTTTCGTATGAATATCATCCATGGCGCCAAAGCAGTTAAAAGTAGTTCAACTCTAAGCCGTATACAACTACTTTTTAAGATCAGTAGTTAAAAATGTTTTTGAACGTGTGAAGTCTGTGAACATTGGGAACTGGCGCTACATAATCCCAAATAAATGTAGCAACAACAACAACTCAAATAGATAGAGTAAACTCGAAGATAAACAATGGCAATGAAGATGTTGATGGCCCATTCTAGAAAAAAATGGTTAGAAATTCATCAATAACAGAAAGAACGATAACAGAATACCGAATATTACCATTGAACTTTTTCTTGTTTTGGTCAGATTTCGGTGGTTAAAGCTGAATGTCAAGAACAACTGCCCCGGATGGCAGATGACATTTCCAATAGAATTGCCTCTCTATGGGAAACAAATACACAAAGAACATCCTTTGTTTCAGGAGTTCATTCAATTCCATTTAATTAGCTGTGAGGCTTTTGGGACTTTAAGAAGCCGCCGAAGATCTAATTGTTTACTCTGTCAGGTTTGAGAGTCTGAAAGAAACAGGACGATTTTTCTTAAACCTGATTTACTCGGTGACTTTATGGGAAGCACTCATGATTAATTCAAATCTGTTTGCAAGAAAAGAAAAAAAAGATCCATTTCGATCTCTGAAAATGTCAAGTACCGACACTACTTTGCAGAATGCCATCTAAACTTGGTAAATTTATTTACCTAGTCATTTTCTGTTTCACAGAAGCAGAGTGATTTAATGATTGAGAATAGGCAACAACAAGTTCGACCTTTGACTCCTGCTTATCGTTTTTCGTGAATTCATTACGAAGACCAAGTGGAAACCCGGCATGACCCTACCTCCCAATCACGGGAAATCAAACTGAAACAATTGTTTCATTAGAGACGAAAGGAAAACAGCTCGACTTATCAACCTCTCGAAACCGTCCTTTCATTTCAATGTGTCTTCCAACGCATTTGTGAAAAGAAAGAGGTATTGTTGCAAAAATGTGAGAGGCTATTAACTTTCAAGGTTTTGAAATATTTTTTTTTTTTTTTTTGTCGAAAAGCTTGGTCTGATCAATAATTTTTTAACAACCATTCAAACGTATGAACCAACGAAAATATGTACCGCCTTTGAATTTTAGTTCAGATTTTACACTCGGTAACAAAAAAAAAAAAAAAAAAAGAATTCCCTCATGTTAAAAGACTGACAGACGAACACGAGCTCTTAAAATCCTGAATATTGGAATCGTCGAAAAATTGGCGATATATTTATTATACAAAAGATAATATACAGGGTGTCTCAAAATAATTTATACATTTTTTGAATCGTTATAACTTATTCAGTTTATGTATTTTGACTTGTAAATAAGATTAATACAAGAGAAAGAATACACATTTAAAGAATTTGAGAGTAAAATATACAAAAAAAAAAAAAAGAAAAAAAAAAGAAAATTAACTTTAATAGGATAAAAGCTACTTGGGGTAATGGCAGAATGTTCATAGAATAATGATTTCACATCAAGTGCACAAACTGGTTGCCGTTCTGTTCAATACACTTTTCATATCTTGAAGAAATAGACCTACAAACGTCCGGTATCATTTCCTCTGGTATGTGATCACTTTCTTCATCAATTGCTACTCTCATTTCAGAAATTGTTTCAGGTTTCCTGCTGTAACCTTTGTCTTTTAGAAACCCCCACAAAAAGAAATCCAAGGGTGTCAAATCTGGTGATCTAGGTGGGTATTCAATTGTCCCTCTTCTTCCAATCCATTTGTTTTGCAGATTTTCATCCATATAAGTTCTCACATCTCACTAATGTATTATTAACTAATAATATTTAAAGAGTGTATACATTATTTTGGGACACCCTGTAGATAACAATACCGAATGAGACATTCAAACTTATAGCTCCATCGGAGACAAAAACCTGCTTTTGGGAAGAAGAAAAAAAATTAACTAGACATTTTGCTTGTATTGATGAAGACATTTGACTGCCAAATGGTGAGAAAATGTCTATATAGTTTATGGTTTGAGAATTCATGAAACACTGCCAACATCTCTGATAAAATATTAAACGTTATAATGGAGGAGATTGCAATGCATATGCGGTTGAAATGCTTTTTACAAGACAAAGTATGGCAGTATTGACTCGTTTTAAAAGTGAAAAAAAAATGTTGCTGTATGATTTCGTAATATCAACCAGTCAAACATGACATTTTCGTTCCTATAAAAGTCCCGCAAGATATATCTAATATCGAGGAACATTCCTCAAGGGAAATGATTATATATATCTTATATATATATTAGGTAACTATACGTGTCTCGAAAAACCTTCGAATTTTTTATTTGCCAATAATCAAAACATTTGTAAGCTATGTACAGAGGAGAAATTAGCCATAGCTTTATCTAATCAACCTAACGATTTATTAAACTCTAAAACCGAGATTCTTAACATATGTAGGCACAGAAAATCTTGGTTATTGAATTAGGTAATCTCCCGTTTGTATTGTCATTCCACCTTTATTGTTCGTGTTTTCTTAAATATCCCCTCCCCTTTTAGTCGTTTGAATAAATCATTAAAAGTGTTGTTTTTTTTCTTGTTTTTCTATTTTATCTTTGGTCACATGGTATGATTTTGTTTATCGCCTATAAATATGCCGTTTCTCTTTTGCCTCTTTAGCCAGCTTTCCCCGAGTGTCCGCTTAGGTGAAGCCTGGGTAGGTTTGTCTGGCTCACTACGTTTTTTTTTTATATATATATATTTTACAGATGATTAGGAAGTCTCGAGTCACTTAGGAAGCGGAAAGAAAACAATTCCAAGCAATACAGGATGCCGTTTCCAAATTTCTGGTGGAGTTAATTGCGTCATGGTGGTCTTTTGCTCACAGGCGGAGCCCAACTGACGCTTCTGTAAAAGAAACGCGCATACGCTCAATTAAACATATGAAATGGCGATAATTTACGCATCGCACCCTGCGTACATGCATATATAAAATTTTGTTTATATTTCTGTGCATCCATACCCAAATAAAATTGGACCCCAATATTTTGCTGTTCAATTGCATTTCAGTTTTTAGATACAATCCTTTTTTTTATATATTTCATTCCATGAGGTATTTACAACCACAAAACAATCTAAAAACAATCTTCCTTGCACTGGAAAAATAAAAAAATTTAAATAGGTTACAAAATACACGAATAAACTTTGGATACTGCACAATTAAATAAGTTATGTTTTAGTATATAAAAAAAATACCCAATTTCGATTGGTAGATTTCACTACAATTATCTTTGTATGACAAGAAGGATTCAGTCTAACCATCTTTACTATTTAAATCACAGCTTGATAGTGGGTCCCCTACTCATTGTGCGGGACAGCTGTTTCTAACTATTTCTACCGCTAAATCCACTAAAAAAGTCAGAGCCGATTAACGGCAACAAGAGATTCTTCTATGTGCCCTGTCCGTTTGAGCTGTCGACCATCATGGCTCTCTCCACAACTTCATGTTGTTTGTAGCTCTAAGTAACACTAATCTCTTTTGCGCTCTAACGTAATCCCTGTTTTACCAAGCCATTTAAACAAGCTCGCTACGCGTGTCGTTTCATATTTTCCGCCCGCAAATAGATATATGAATGGGGGTTACACAAAGTTATTCGCTGCTCTATCCTGCCATTCATGCCTTCGTTATGCCCTGTGAGTATCAAATTTTTCAAGCCTTCTTTCTTCATGTGTGCCTTTTTTTGTGTTCCTGTTCCCTAAAACAGTCGTTTCTCACATGTTCAGTTCTTCTGTGAAGAAATCGTCCAGTTTTCGCTGCTATGTAGTCGGGCCGATGTTGCATAAAGGAATAGCTGTTCTGAACTAGGCTTTCAGTCCCTTACATAAGCACATCAATCAACATTCTTTTTCTCGCTGACTTCGAAAAGGTTGCCATCTATTCGTCTTCAGCCCTCACTGAACATCACCACTATCAATTTTCTGATGTGAAGTCGAACCATCTGTCCTGCGTACCCAGATAAATTTACTTTCTGTATCCCTTCTTATCTTGAACTCATTCGGAATTTTTGTTGTATAATAATTCAAAATCTTATTCAGACAGTTTAAGATAAATTTGTAGAAAAACACAGTGGGCAAAGATCTTACAATACTATACGTTGAACTTATAGTAACACAATGTGTTCGTTCTTTAATGTTAGTGATTGCTTTCCATACGTGTTAGTCAGTGATGTGCCATGGGTGATACAAGCGTAGGTTATCATGTATCTTTTGATACATGACTGACGAGGCAGATTTTTGCCCGCAGTAGGTTGCCATTTCTTTCTGCGTGAGACCAGTTGCCATCCAATACTATTGTTACCGGGTGGGGGAGAAGAAGAGGAGGATTCGTACGTTTCCCAAGCGTATTAGCACGAAAGTGAATGTAACGAATTCGACTGGAATTCGAACTCGGCTCTCCGATTCCTCAATCCGAGCCGCTAACCATTACTTCACCATGCCTCCGTTCTATACGTATAGAAAGTAATATTTTTACGGTCCCCTTTTTATAAATTAGCCAGCTTTAATACCAACGATAAAATGCCGAAATAGTGTATAAAGGATTCCACAACAAGCGTTTACATTCAAAATATAGAGTTGCTTCTCAATATGTTTAAGAGAAAACGTGTCAATTTTAAAAATCCCAGTCTTACATGGCTTAGCGGAGTCATCGCCGTACATAGCAAATGAGCTATAATCTTTTGTTAACTGTTAGGTTAAACAAACAGCCTTCGGCATAGAAACAGGAAGAGGAAAATGAATCATATGAAGTGTTAGGGATAAGCTCAAGTGCCTGTTATCACTTCGATGTTTTTCACTGACGATACGAAATCGGCTTGGAATGTAAAACCATTTCCTAAGAATTTTCATGGTTTATTGCTAGTAATTTATTTTTTTTTGCTTCTGAGGAATTTAGGTCTAAGCTGAAGCGAACTGAGCAAAATTAAAATTCTTTCCGTGTAAGTTTTTCGATCAAACTGGCTATTATTTGAAGAATTTCAACTGGAATTAACACTTTCACTGCTATATTGTTGCCTAGCTGTGCTGGCTCGATTTTAGAAAAATAAATGACGATGCTGATAATGATTTCACATGCATGCCCCCATTTTGGTTTGTATCGGATACTCTGCACGACAGAATAAGCTAAACGATCCTCCATTCTATAACGTAATAAAAACGTAACAAAACAAGTCACATTGAATACTACTAATATATCTATACTGGTTTGAAAACCGCGCTAGTTTATAGTACAAACGCTAGGGGTTGACATTTCACAGTGTCTAATAAACAGACATTGATCACTAGTAATGTTTTGTAAAGGTATAGATGTATGTCCACAGCAGCTTAAGTGTTAAAAACACGAGATTTAAGACAAAGTTATCGTAAATAATATATTTTCTCGAACTGAAATAAATAATATATATATATATATATCTCTCAAAGTAGCTTCTTTTTCCGTCACATTAATGATATTGAAGAATCAATCGACCGAAATGCTGTGATAACTACATGAGCACAAAGATGTTCAATTGTCTGAATAATGCATAAAACATGGCGTTTTATTTCATATAACAAAACATTACTTGAAAGTACTCACGTTCATTTAGAGTTCTGAACGCAATTAACTAAGACGAGAATGATATGCCCAAGACAGATTTTATATATATATATATATATATATATATATATATATATATATATATACGAACGTTAGCTTTCTTAGACCCGGGTTCGAATCGCGCCACGAGCGATTTGTCAGCATGTGATTTCTAGAAGTTATCGGTCTGGGATCGCAGCGTGCGGTACCTTAAAACTGCAATGTAAAGCACAATTATGCCCTGTGATCCATTATAAAGATATAATTGTTCGGACTTTGTCATATTCACGACGTTTCGGCCGTTATATGCTGATTGAAAATTGGAATTTCGAATGAATGCCTTTATTTCGTTCACGGGTACAGATTGTTCTAGTTCCACGTGCTATGCCTCTTCAGGATGTCTCACTTATCTCGTTTTAACTCAAATTTCCATGTTTTGCTTCAACACTACAGTAACCAGGTATTGAACTCAACTCAGCTACCCTATCACAGAAATATATCTCTTTTGAATAATTTACACGAGTTTTTTTCCTATAGGATACCCCCATATTCACACCAAAAAAAAAAAAAAAAAAAAACTCTAAATGAGGCATGTCCTAATGAAAACATTTGCCAAAATATACGCGCTCTCTCTCATATATATATATATATATATATATATATATATATATATATATATATATATATATATAGAACACTCTCCCACCTATAATAAGTAGGAGTAGTAAGAGTAACGTAGGAGTCGCTCAGTGAGTTGGTCAGTCAGTCGATGCCGGACGACCGTTAGTCGGATATTAAAGTATCAGTCACCACAACTAGATTACTGCGTCATTACCTATTATATCAAGTCCCTAACGTTTTATACGTCGAACCTATTTTAGAACCGATTGAGTACAAATACAAGCCTCCACTGTGAAACCACTACATAACACACACACTATATATATATATATATATATATATATATATATAATATAAGCAATTACTTTGCCTGAATGCACGCGTCACAAGTGAAAACACAATGTTTGTGTAATGAATGAATGAAAATTAGTTAAATATCAAGATCATTATTAGTATAAACGTAAAGACTGACTGCGTGATCGATAGGCCAGAGAGAACAATAGCGAAATAGTTGCTTTATTGTATAAATTTAGAAAATAAAACTAAAAAGATGCACAACTTAAGTGGGTTGAGACAGAAGCAATACCACCCTGAACAGAAAACCCAACAGCTTCTACAAAGACAAAACCTGATTATGTACAACAGCATAAACAGGTTACAAAAAAGCAGAGAGTTCAACCGATCAGCCAGTCGACTGACTGACTGCCTGCCTGCCCGACGTTACTCTTACTACTCCTACTTAATAAACTCTCCCACGTATAATAACTATAGAATAGGTGTGTTCCACTATAACATTCAAAAAGGTGGCTGTGAATACTACGGAATGTGTAAGAAATAATCATTTTTTCTTTAATTAGAAACAAAAATAGACAATTACAAGAAAACGCAGATGCAGTTGAAATTTTTCGGACACATAATCAGGAAAGAATGCCTGGAGAATTCCTCATTCACATTAAATAGGAGACAGAAAGGAATAGCGAGTTATCTACATAAGCTTTTGTAAATTGATAACACAGATAGGGAAGTATTGTAAAAAGTGAAATATTGCTAACATCTCCGTAGGATAGTATGTTATCGAGAGCCATGATCGTCCACATCCTTGAAAGACCATAGAAAGGGTTCAGACGAAATACAAGGCTGTCCGAAAGTCTTGCAACTAGCTACCAAAAAGTAATGAGAACAACACAACGAAGATTAATTCGGTGATTTAAAGGACATGTCATGGATTCACTTTCACTGAAGGTCTGTTTGATCAACATTATCTTTAAAAAAAAATGATGTGGCTCTGTGTTTTGTGTCATATTTAACGAAGCTGTGCTTTGTTGATTGTTGCAAAGGCTCTCCGAACGGCGTCCTTCAACTGATTGGTATTCTGGTATCGTTCATATGAAACTCCTTGATAATACCCAACAGAGCTTTGAAATAGAAAATTATATTATGTAGGGAGGGGACAAGTCTTACGGATCACCCTGTAAATTAATTATTTCTACCAGTTCTAACCTTCACGTCTATGACCCACCCTACGTTGCACATTGTAGTGAACCACCCTCATTCACTTTGTATTCCATTGGTAAGAATTAAGTTCCACACGGGCAGCTCCTTCCCACGAATCGTTGCTTTGTGGCACCGACTCTCAAAAATTTCCCTACCACTACAATCTTAACCTTTCCAAGTCGTGGGTTAATCGTTATCTTATATCCCCATAAACTGTGTGTGACTCTGTATCGACTTTTAGTGTCTCTTGTACAATGAGAAAAAAAAGAATGAGAAAAAAAAGAATGAGAAAAAAAAGAATGAGAAAAAAATGAATGAAAAAAAAGAAAAAAAGAATGAAAAAAAAAAAAAAAAAAAAAAAGAAAAAGAATGAAAAAAAAAAAAGAATGAAAAAAAGAATGAAAAAAAAGAAAAAAAAAGAATGAGAAAAAAAGAATGAGAAAAAAAGAATGAGAAAAAAAGAATGAGAAAAAAAGAATGAGAAAAAAAGAATGAGAAAAAAAGAATGAGAAAAAAAGAATGAGAAAAAAAGAATGAGAAAAAAAGAATGAGAAAAAAAAGAATGAGAAAAAAAAGAATGAGAAAAAAAAGAATGAGAAAAAAAAGAATGAGAAAAAAAAGAATGAGAAAAAAAAGAATGAGAAAAAAAGAATGAGAAAAAAGAATGAGAAAAATAAAAAATAAATAAATACGCTCAAATAAATTACTTGATTGTCTCGCCATATCAGCCTTCGTTTTTATTATTATTTATCCAAATTTACGTATTTGTTTGATTCTAACATTAATTTATTATGGGACAATTGCTCCCATAAGTCAACTGGCCTCGAAAAATGGAAAGGGTACATTTTTTGAAAGTTTTGTTTATACTTCAATAAAGATAAATTTATAATAAAAAAAATATCTAAATTAATGGGATTATCCTGACTTGACAATCTGTCAAGTTTAGGGAATAGTAACAAGCCAACGAACAATGTGAATTTAGTGTTTGAACTCATCACACTGCCTCTACAACTCTCCAAGTATATACTTTTTTTTTATATCACCCCATCATGGTGTTTGTTCAAAGTGAACGTGACAAAAGAAAGCTTATTTAT